CAACACGTCCAAGAAGCCCACAAGAGAGCCCAACATTACCCCAAGATGCCTGCAAGACGGCCAAAGACGAACCCAAGACGGCTCAATACGGCATCAAGACGGCATAAGAGGCCCCTGAGACGCTCCAAGTCGCTCGAAGAGAACCCCAGGAGGCCCTCAGGATGCCCCCTAAATCAACCTTGCACCGTTGCATCCTTAATTAGGACACCCACCCCCCGCCCATAGCCATTGTGGCGCAAGTCTCATTTAGGCTGGTGAGATATCTCCTCTATCGGCCTCGCCTGCTTGCGAATAGAGAGCCAACGGGGCACTCGTGTTCGCCGATGGCAGACCACCCCGTCTCTTATTCGCCGGACGACGGGCTGCCTTTCAATTGCTCCGACGGTAAGACCCTACATGAGAATCTGTTTAACTTACCCTTAGCCCTTCCCCCGTCGCCCTGGCGGACATCCTCCTCTCGCCCTGAGCTCTGCTCTCTCCTCTTCCTCCTCCTTGTTTTATCTATCCTCCTTCTCCTCCTCCTCCTCCTCCTCCTTCTCCAATTCCTCCTCATCATCGCTCTCCCTCTACCCCTGCCGCCCTCCTGATCCTCCCGCCGCTTCTCTACGTGCACCTCCTTTCTCCCTGGTCGGGGCAGGCAAGTCGATTTTCCTCGGCGCCGCCGCCGCCTCGGCCAACGCGAGCGCGTTCGCCGACGGCTAAATCGCGAAGCCCCTCTAGGACAGCCCCGCGGGCCACGCCTTTGGGGCGACCCCGCGGGCCGCCAGGGCGCGAGGCCAGGCCGACGTGCCAACCTTGCGGGCCCCAAGCTCCGCGCCGCGGCGCTCAGGCGGGAGGCGGCGCGACGCCGAGCACCGCGGCGAGCTGCTCGGCCTCATCCTTGGAGGTCTTCGCCCTCGTCGAACTCCTCGAGCGCCCCCCGCAAAGACGCCGGCGGCCCGCGCTCTAGAAACTCGCGCGAAGGCGGCCGCGGGATCGGCATGTTCCGCACGCACGCGGCGCGGGAAAGCATGACATAGAGGTGCAGCCACCACTGGTCGCCCGACATGCCCGCGCGGCCAGCGCCCTCGCCCCTCGCGCAGTCGATGGCGATGCCCTCGCGCAGCGTCTGGCTCTGCGACAGCGTGGAGGCGAGGTAGGACGCGCGAGTCAATGTCAACCCCGAGCGGCGGACAGCGCGCGGCCCCGAGCTCTGCCAAGTGAACTCCTGCTCGACGGGCCTGAACATCAGCGAACTCCGAGCCCGCGCCTCGGCCCGGCCGTCGTCGTCGGCGTCTTCGGCGCCCTGTCGCGGCACCTCGGCGACCTCCTGGTAGATCGGAGACTCCTTGAAGCCGCGCACCTGCAGCCATATTCCCTGCGGTAGGAACCGGGGGCGAAAGAGCTGGGCTGCCGAGCACTCCCTGCACCGCTGCTCGCCCTCGCGGTGGAACTCGAAGGACACGATGGCGGCCCGCTGCTCCTGCACGAGCCCCAACTTCTTCTTCAGATCTTCCTGCGCTGCCGTGAATCGCGCCCCCGTGCCGACGCGGGCGACAAGACGCCGTGGATGTCCCCCGTCTCGTGCATGTTCGGGACGTTCAGGAGGCACCAGCCAGCGTCGGGATCGCCCTGAATCGCGCTGCACTCGTCAACGGCCGGCAAGACAACGAGGGGCACGCCCAGGCGCCGCGCGTCACGACGAGCGCGCGCGTTGATTCACCTCGCCAGCGTCTCCCAGTAGATGCCCATGCCGTCGCCGAGCCGCAAGTTCTCGCGCCGGTGCCGAGGGCCCAGGTCGCCGCCGCTGTCCAACGCCAACGTCTTCTCCCAGGCGGACCAGACACCCCGCAGGAAGGGCTTGCCCTCGCGCATGCAGCCCAGGAGCGTGGTCAGAGGGCCCCCGGGCTCGGAGCGCCCCGTGCCCTTCAGCTCGAAGACGCAGGGGATCTGAGAGAAGACCTTGATGAGGTGCTGAATATCCACCGTTGGCGGCTCCGCGTACTTGTACGTGCGCCCGCCGTCCAGGAGCTCGTTCACGTCCGTCAGGAGGCCGGTGCTGCCCGCGGGCTTCAGCTGCAGGAAATCGCCGAGGTGCAGCACGATGGGGGCGCGCCCGAAGTGGCGGTGCGGCCGCTTGTAGGTGGGCCCCTCATGGCGGGGCCCGCCATGGCGGAGAGTCGCCGCGCAGGCCGCTGGAGGCTTAAGTTTTGACAAACAAGTGGCGACAGCTTCAGGTTGCCGATGACCCGATCGGATCACCAACATGAAGTGCGGGCCTCATAAGGAGGGGGCTCCAGCCTGACACTTCCTCGCAAGTCACCCATGGACAAGGCTCCCGCCTGAGATTTCCCCCATGCTCAAGCATGAGGAGCCGAAAGTGACGACAATTACACAAGTTGCCGACGACCCGCTCGAATTACCAACATGATGCGCGGGCCCCATGCGCAGGGGGCCCCCGCCTGAGACTTCCTCGCAGTTCACTCACAGACGAAGCCCCCGCCTGAGACTTCCTCCATACTCAAGCTTGAGGGGCCCAAAACTGACAACAGTTTCAGGTTGCCGATGATCCGCTCGGATTACCAACATGAGGTTCGGGCTCCATAGGGAGGGGATTCCCGCCTGCGACTTCCTCGAAATTCACTCACAGACGAAGACCCCGACTGAGACTTCCTCAATACTCAAGCCTGAGGAGCCCAAAAGTGACGACGTTTGCAGGTTGCCGACGACCCACCTCGGATTCGAACATGAAGTGCAAGCCCCATAGGGAGAAGGCCCCCGTCTGAGACTTCCTCGCGATTCACTCACAGACGAAGCTGCCGACTGAGATTTCCTCCATGCCCAATCCTGAGGAGCCCAAAAGTGGCGACAATTACAGGTTGCCGATGACCCACCTCGGATTCGAACATAAAGTGCGAGCCCCAGAAGGAAAGACTTCCCGCCTGAGACTTCCCCACACCTCACTCACGGACGAAGCCACCGCCTGATACTTCCTCCATACTCACCCCCTCAAAAACCCAAAGGTGACGGCAGTTCCACGGTTGTGGCGACCCGCTCGGATTGATAACATAAGGTGCGGGCCCCATAGGGACGAGGCCCCCTCCTGAGACTTCCTCGCATTTCACTCCTAAACGAGGCCCCCGCCTGATACATCTTCCATATTCTGGCCTCAGCACCCCAAAAGTGACGACAGATACAAGGTTCCGATGACCCGCTCGGATTAAACAGATAAATTGCGGGCGCAATAAGGCGGGGGTTCCCGCCTGAGACATTCAGGCCTCAGCACCCCAAAACTGACGGCAGTTACAAAGTTCCGATGACCCGCTCGGATTAAAAAGATGAAGCGCGAGCCCCATAGGGAGAGGACCCCCGCCTGAGACTTTCTCGCATTTCACTCATAGACGAGGCCCCCGCCTGATACTTCCCCCATAGTCAGGCCTCAGGAGCCCCAGAAAGTGACGAAAGTTACAGGATCCCGATGACCCGCTCGGATTACAAAGATGAGGTGCGGGCACCACAAGGAGAGGGGGTCCCGCCTGAGACGACCGCGCCAGGCTGGGAGCCGGCCAGGGCGGCGGGCTGGCAGCCAGGCGAGGCGAGTGGCAGAGCTGCTGGGCGGCGACCTGGGCGCTGGCAAAGGCGCCCGGCAGGCGGCCAGGCGGAGCGGCGAGCGGGGCGCCGGGCGGCCCGGCCATCGAGGCAAGCAGAGCCGAATCGCCGCTGCTGCGCAGGAAGATCTCTACCAGACCGATTGGGATGAGAGCGTCGCGGAACCAGGCCCCCAAGTCCTCTCCGAAGGGGAAGACAGGCAGCGGCGGGCGCGGCTCCGAATCCTTGTCCAACGCGGCGAGGTCGAAATGTGAGACTGTGCTGGACGCGGCCGGCGCCTCGCGCTGCCGCGGCGTGTCTAGAATGCAACGTTTGGGTCGGATTCCAATCCACTACCGTGTCCGCACCGTCCGACGCCTCCCCTGAGCTCGGGACCTCTGGCGACGGCTGGGGACTCTCTGCGTCGCTTCGGACTGGCCTCGGCGCCGGGGCTTCGATCGCGCAGGGAGCCGGGCCGGGAGACGGGTTGGGAGCGGGGGCGGGGGCCTAGCAAGCCGCTGGGCTGGCCGCTAGGCTGGCCTAGGTGGTCGCCGGACGGGCTCCCAGGGCTAGCAGCTCTCTTTCCGTGAACTCGCTTTCCACCTCCAGCAGCCGCACCTGGAGCACCGAGACCTTTTTCTCCAGCAGGCGTGCCTGAAGGGGGATTGGCCGAGTGCAGCCTCACGCGAGCTTGTGTGTCTCCGCCAACAGCAGCTCCACCTTCGCACGGTGCATGCGGATCACGGCCACGGGGCATGGCAGCGGCACTCGCGCTCTCTTCTGCGGGGACAGCGCCGCGCACGCGTCTGGAGCCTCCGGCTGTCGCCGCTTGTACTGCGGCTCGCGCCTCGGCCCAGCCGAAGTGCTCTCCCGCGGCGGCGAGCGCTCGAGCCTCGCCGTGGCCGAGCTCTCCACCACGCCTGCCGTGGCGACCCATGGCGTCACGCGCGCGGGGCAGGGCCGGGCGCGCGACGGCCGGGAGCTACGGCCGAGCCAGGCTCGAGCCAAGATGGCTTGAGCCAACAGTCATGTCTGGCTGCAGACAGGCCTGTCTGGCTGCAGACAGGCCTCTGTGCTACATGTAATGATGGAGTAGTTTGCTTATTCGTCTTATCTGTGCTGCACCATCCTCTGAGCATGCTGCGCGCCAGATGCTTCCAAGCCAGAGGATGGGAGAAGAAGTGGAGGAGGAAGAAGAGGTGGGGGAGGAGGAGGGGTGGCAGGGGTGGTACGAGGAGGAGGAGGAGGAGGAAGAAAAGGATGAGAGGAGGGGCAGGGGGAGGAGGAAGAAGAAGAAGAAGAAGAAGAAGAAGGGGAGGGAAAGGAGGAGAAAGGGTAGGAGAAGAGGCCGCAGAAGAATAAGCAGGATCGGTGGGGAGGAGGAAAAAGAAGGAGGAGAGAGGAGGACGAGGAGGAAACGGACGAGGAGGCGCCTGCAGGGTGGGCTTGTCCCCCTGCTGCACCGGCACGGTGGGCTTGTCCGCCTGCTGCACCGGCACGGTGGGCTTGTCCTCCAGCGGCGGCGCCAGGACAGCGGCACCACAGGCTTGCTCCTCATCTTGCTGCTTCTCATCCCTCCTCCATCCTCCCCCTCCTCATCGACCTCCTCCTCCTCCTCCTCCTCCTCCTCCTCCTCCTCCTACCCCTTCCCGTCCTCCTCCACTTCCTCCCCCCCGCCACCCTGCCGCAGGGCTGGCCGATTGCCGGTCAATCAGGATGGATCATACACAAATTGAAAGATGCGGATTCGACGACAATCTTCTGAACATGGACGTTCTCGTCGTCAGTAAAACGCATAGCAGGAGTGGGACCGGGTGCACATCGCGCGAGAAAGAGTAACATTTCGGTCTCGCCTGAGCGCCGTTACAACTGCCGTTGGGGCGTGGCGCCCATCTTTCGCTCGCCAATTCGTCTATAGCAGGGGAGCGGGTGAAGCGTAGCCCCGCCCAAACGCCGCACAGAGCTCGCCTGAAAATGGCGCCCCGCTTGGGCGCATATGTTCTTCGTTTGCCCAATCGTCGAGGGCGGGGACGCGCGCGAGCGGGCGAATTGTCAACATCGCCCCGGTTCTGCGAAAACTTCGAGTGAATTTCTCGCGATCGCTGTGTTTGTCGTCGCCGCCGATGTCGTCTTCGTCGTCCCCGTCGTCTCCGTGGTCGCCATCGTCGTCGTCGTCGCCGCCGCGTGGCGCTTACGCGTGGGCGCGGCGCAATGTCTCGCTCGCCGAGGTCGCCGCAGAAAGCGCGGCGGCGGGGCCCGCGCGCGTGAGGCCAGAGCTACCGCCATCGCCCGAGGGGCCGCGCAAGGGTCGCAAGAGCGTAGCAGTACTGTTCCGGCGCAGCACATACGTCGTCTCCGCCGCTTTCATCAGAGACTGGGCCGCGCATGTCAGGCACACACTACTTAACATGAATTACGGATCCGTGGATCTGGCGCGTGGGCGCCAGATCGACGGATCGGGGAGGGACCCCCCCAGAAACATGAAACCGATACCGCCTGCTTTGGCGAGTGGGAGCGAGACCCGTCGCTAATCCACACGCCTTCCTCTGTGATTCGCTTCCTCGAGCGGCAGACGGAGCTGAATGTTGCTTTCGCCGGGGGGGCGTGCAAGAAGTTTCTGCCAACTCCGCTCCGGCCCGAACGCAACACGTCTTTCCCCATGCCAAGTCGTCGGATGCGGGACCGCGCGAAAGCGCATTGCGTTCGCTACAGGGGAGCTCGCGCTAATCCCAATATCAAGTTGCGAAAGCATTGGTTCCCATGTGATAGGAGGAAGGGCTGGGCTGCTGCCTTGGTCGACTTGGCCAAGTTTTGACCCGTCCTCAAATGTCTCGTCCTCCTCCTCCTCCTCCTCGTCATCATCCTCCCCGTCAGCGTCACCATTATCGGCAGTATCACCCACCTCGCCATGCATAACAACACCAACAACATAATCATCATCACCATCATCACCCTCATCATCATCCTCATCCTCATCATCATCATCACAATCACCATCACAGTCATCATCATCATCATCATCATCATCATCATCATCATCATCATCAGCATCAGCATCAGCATCAGCATCAGCATCAGCATCATCATCATCACCATCCTCATCAGCAGCAGCAGCATCATCAGCATCATTAATCATCATCCTCACCATCAGCGTCATCATCAGCAGCAGCATCAAAAACATCATCGTCAACATCATCATCGACACTATCTGCAACCACACCAACATCATTATCATCAGCATCGACAGCATCGTCATCATCATCAGCATCAGTATCATCATCATCCTCACCATAATCAGCATCATCATCATCAGCATCGTAATCGTCTGCATCTTCACCATCATAACCAGCATCATCATCATCATCATCATCATCATCATCATCATCATCATCATCATCATCATCATCGCCAGAATCATCGTCATCGCAGCAGCATCATCAACTTCATCAGCACCAGCATCAACATCACCATCAGCATCACCATCAACGTCATCATCAGAATCACCATCACCGTCATCATCATCATCATCACGGTCGTCATTGCCATCATAATCATCGTCACCAACATCAACATCATCATCATCATCATCATCATCAACATCCACCTAATCTTCATTGCCGTCAACATCATCATCATCACCATCCTCATCACCCGTCACGTCATCCTGGTCATCCTCATCATAGTCATCATCGCCATCAATATCAACAACATCATCATCAACATCATCACCATCGCTGCCACCACCACCGTGATAGTCTGCACACAATGAATACTTATATAGCAACCACCATCACCACCACATCATCAGCAGCTTTATCAGCGTCATCATCATCATCATCATGGTCGCCATCGTCGTCAAGATCATCATCATTATCATCAGTATCATCATCATCGTCGTCGACATCATCAGCATCATCATCATTAGCATCATCCTCATCATCAGCATCGTCATCGGAGTCAGAATTGCCATCATCGTCATCATCAGCATCAGCATCAGCAGCATCATAGTCATCATCATAAGTATCATCATCAGCCAAATCATCAGTATTGCCACCATCATCGTCATCATCATCATCAGAATCAGCATCATCAGCAGCATTCGCATCCCCATAATCAGTACCATCATCAGCATCGTCATCATTATCATCATCATCATCATCATCAGCAGCATCATCATTATCATCATCATCATCATCATCATCACCATCATCATCATCATCATCATCATCATCAGAACCATCATCAGCAGCATGAGCATCATTTTCCGCATCAGCTTCAGCATCATCATCATCAGCATCATCAGCACCATCAGCACCATCATCAACTGCATCATCATCGTCGTCATAATCATCAGCATCAGCATCATCATCAGTATTGTCTCAATCGTCATCATCATCATCAGCATCATCATCGACATCGGCGCTGGCATCGGCATCGTCGTCATCATAGTCGCCATCACCACCACCACCATCACTATCATCAGAATCGTCATCATCAGCATCGTCAGAATCGTCATCAGCATCATCGTCATCAGCATCGACACCAGCATCAGCTCCAGCAGTTTCATCAGCATCATCATCATCCTCATCATCATCGCCATCAGCATAATCGACTTCATCGACAGCTTCGTCTTGAGCTTCAGATCCAGTGTCAGAATCAGTAGCATCATCGTACTCAGCATCATAATCATCATCATCCTCCTAACTATCAACGTCATCATCATCGCCATCGGTATCGGCATCGATATTGGCATCGTTATCGTCATTAACATCGTCGTCAGCAGCAACGCCACGACAATGGTGATTGTACTCGTGTTGTGGTCGATCACGGTCATCAAAATCAGCAGCAGCAGCATAATCTTGCTCCTCATCCTCATCACCATCATGGTCATCATCTTCCTCACGCGAATCCCGCGCCTCACGCACATCCCCCTGCCCCTGCCTTTCACTTACTCCTCGTCCTCCTCCTCATACTCATCCTCCTCCTCGCCAACCTCCTCGTCCTCCTCGCCCACCTCCGACTCCTTCTCCTTCCCCTCTTCCTCCTCATCATCATCAACGTCAACATCAACATCATCATCATCAGCATCATCATCAGCATCATCATCATCATAATCGTCGTCATCGTCATCGTTATTATCATCCTCATCATCATCATCATCATCAGCATCTTCATCATTATCCTCAACGTTCATCGTCATCGTCATCGTCATCGTCATCGTTCTCTTCCTCTTCCACAAATCCCTCCCTATCATCCTTCCCCCAACCCCCCCATCCTCTCATCCCCCTCCCACCCCTCCCACTTTTCCTTCTCCTGGCGTTACGCAAGAGTTTTTCCCCGCGCACTGTCGCCACCCACTGAGCTGCGCCAGCTAAGAGACGAAGACGTAGGACTCCATGACGCCCATGTAGGGCTGCTTCAGCCCCAGACGGCGGCGCCCTCCTCCTCCTCCTCCTCCTCCTCCTCCTCCTCCTCCTCCTCCGCCTCCGCCTCCTCCTCCTCCTCCTCCTCCTCCTCCTCATTCCCCTTCACCCTCGTGCACCCCGCTCCCCCCTCCTCCCCTCCCTGCTCCACGCCCACCTCCTCCTCCTCCTCCTCATCCCTCCTGCTCTTCCCCTGCGCCTGCCCTGCCCCCTCCCGCCACTCCTCCCGTGCCCCCGCCTCTCCCCCTCTTCGGGCTCGCCGTCCCAAGGCGCCCGGCGGCGGGTCGAGCAGAACGGGCGCCGCCCTCTCCGGCCACGCCCACAAGGACGAGGCCAGGACGAGGAGAACATCGGGTGAGGACAAGTCGAGAATCTCTGAGATCCGGCGGCCTTGGAGGATGCCTCGGGCGCCGCGGAACGGATCTCTCCTCTAGCCCCGCCCGACCCATACGTGAGGAGAGAACAGCACGCGCGCAAACAAGTGGGAATGGGGAAAGGCAGGGCGATGAAACAGGCCCTCAGGTCCCCGCCCACCACCCAGGGCCCCCCCTGGAATTCCTCCCCGTGAAATCTGTGGGTCGCAGCATGAGTATGGGTGCTGGGGCGACGGTATCTTTACATACCACTGCTCCGTGGCCAGGTCCATCCTGAACCCATCAGCAGTGCACACGCCACGCCGTCCTGGCTTGGCCAGGAGGGTGTGCACACGACTCCTGGGGTCAGCATGGGCCTGGCCAGGGAGCAATGGATACGCATACATTTCGTAGCCCGAGGTGCTAGCTGTCAGCTCATGAGCACACCCTGCTGCGAAATTGTGCAGCAGAGGGGCGGGCATGAAGAGATGATTGGAGGAGGGGGAGGGGGAGGGGAAGGATAAGGAGGGACAAGGGAAGGAATGTGAGCGGGAGAGGAAGGAGAAGCAGGAGCAGGAGCATCCGGGGAAACGGGAGTAAGAGGAGGTAGAGGGAGCCTTCAACCCTTGAACCTAAGAAACACTTGCGAGAATAATGCCAACCTACCAACCTCCACACATACAGCTTCACGATCACGAGCTGCGAAGAGGTATGTATCACAAGCGGATCTGAAAACGAGCCGCCCACTATCCAAGCGTTTTGTCGGACTAGGATGTAAGGGTCAGGACCCTGAATCGAGAAGAACTCTCAAGCCAGAGCGCGGCTCTGAAATTAGAACCCCACCGATCAATAATGCATGGGAGGATACAGTGGAAAGGCAATGTGAAATATGTGCATTTTTGGTCACGAAACACTGTCCATGGCCCCCCCTCCATCCCCGCGGATGCCTGAGAATTAAGATTTTGGAACACTCCTTGTGAGGAGGACACTCGCATGGTGGTGCGCAGAGCCGAATGTTTACTCGGAAGAAGGATGGGGGAGCATGAACCCTCCTGGGATTCGTACGTCATTCGCCAGTGCCAGTGGAGGAGGCGGCTCCTACCCTTGGACATCAAGCCCTCGCGACGGCTGGAACATCGAACCTCGAGCACTCCTGGCTGGGCATTGCGGGGCGAGACAGCGCCAGCGTGGGCACAACCCCACGGCGCGCCTGCTGCCCCTCAGGCAGCTCCGGCTGCTGCGCCGTCTCCGCCTCAGTGACGGTGGTGGCGGTGGTGACCGTCGTGGCTGTGGTGCTCTCCGACAGCGGCTCGGGCTCTGGCCAGTGCGGCCACTGCTCAGGAGGCGGCACGATGGGGTCCTCGCCAAAGGGAGGAGAGGGGGAAATACAGAGGGAGAGAAGGGGGAGGTGGAGGCGTGGATGGAGGAGGGGAGGGGATGGTTGGGGGTAAGGTGGAGGGTCAAGGGCAGGAGCAGGAGCTGGGGCAAGGGAGAAGTCAGGAGGGAAGGAGAAGGAGATCGAGGAGTGGAGGGGACAGGGACGGAGACACCACAAGACGATGGGGAGGGGGAGGGGAGGAGGGAAAGGGGAGGGATGGTACAGGGAGGGGGAGGGCGAGCGCACAGGGTCAAGGCGAAAGGGGAGGGAAAAGACGGGTGAATTATTCACTGCGTGGGGATCCCCATATGTGCATCTCCTTGCTGGCGCTCCCTTGGTGGTGGGACTCGGTGAGGACGAATCTGGATTTAAGTGTGACTGAGCTGCTCTCTCTCTCTCTCTCTCTGCTCTCTCTCTTCTCTGTCTCTCTCTCTCTCTGCCCTCTCTCTGTCTCTGCCTCTCTTTCCCTGCCTCTCTCTCTCTCTCTGCCTCTCTCTCTGCCTCTCTCTCTCTGCTCTCTCTCTCTCTGCCTCTCTCTCTGTGCCTCTCTCTCTGCCTCTATCTCTGCCTCTCTCTCTCTGCTCTCTCTCTCTCTCGCTCTCTCTCTCTCTCTCTCTCTCTCTCTCTCTCCTCTCTCTCTCTCTCTATTCTCTCTCTGCTCTCTCCTCTCTCTCTCACTCTCCCTCTCTCTCTCTCTCGCTCTCTCTTCTCTTCTCTTCTCTTCTCTTCTCTTCTCTTATCTTCTCTCTCTCTCTCTCTTCTCTCTCTCTCTCTCTCTCTCTCTCTCTCTCTTTCTCTCTCTATCTCTCTCTCTCTTCCCTCGCTCTCTCTCTCTCTTCTCTCTCTCTCTCTCTTTCGCTCTCTCGCTCTCTCTTGCTCTCTCTCGCTCTCTGTCGCTCTCTCTCGCTCTCTCTCTCTCTCTCTCTCTCGCTCTCACTCGCTCTCTCTCGCTCTCTCTCGCTCTCCCTCGCTCTCTCCCGCTCTCTCTCTCTCTCTCTCTGCTCTCTCTCTCTCTCGTCTCTCGCTCTCTCTCTCTCTCTCTCTCTCTATCTCTCTCTTCTCTTCTCTTCGCTTCTCTTCTCTCTCTCTCTCTCTTCTCTCTCTCTCTCTCTCTCTCTCTCCCCCCCCCTCTCTCTCCACTCTCTCTCTCTCTCTCTCCTCTCTCTCTCCCTTCTATCTCTATCTCTCTCTCTCTCTCTCTCTCTCTCTCTTTCTCTCTCTCTCTCTCTACTCTCTCTCTCTCTCTCTCTCTTCTCTCTCTGCTCTCGCCTGTCCTCCTCTCAACTCCCCCTCTCTCTCTCTCTCTCTCTCTCTCTCTCTCTCTCTCTCTCTCTCTCTCTCTCTCTCTCTCTCTCTCTCTCTCTCCTCTCCTCTCTCTCTCTCTCTCCTCTCTCTCTCTCCTCTCTCTCTCTCTCTCTCTCTCTCTCTCTCTCTCTCTCTCTCTCTCTCGCTCTCTCTCTCTCTCTGGCGACTAGGAGGCCCGGGTCGACTCCTCTTTGGGAAGCCAAAATGCTGCCCCTGGCAGCGTTTGGTGACTATGAAGCCCCTGGTGGACCCCCCCTGGGGCTCCCAAATGATGCCCCTGGCAGCGTTTTGTGACCATGAGGCTCTCAAGAGATACATGTTGGGGACGCCAAACGGCAATTCTAGCTGAGGCGTCCCACCAAAATCGGCGCGAACGGGCTCGTGAGATCAGCCAGGGTGGCTCCCCCTTGGGGCTCCCAATGATGCCCCTGGCAGCGTTTTGTGACCATGAGGCTCTCAAGAGAGACATGTTGGGGAGGCCAAACGGCAATTTTAGCTGAGACGTCCCACCAAAATCGGCGCGAACGGGCTCGTGAGATCAGCCAGGGTGGCCCCCCCTTGGGGCTCCCAAATGATGCCCCTGGCAGCGTTTTGTGACCATGAGGCTCTCAAGAGATACATGTTGGGGGCGCCAAACGGCAATTCTAGCTGAGACGTCCCACCAAAATCGGCGCGAACGGGCTCGTGAGATCAGCCAGGGTGGCTCCCCCTTGGGGCTCCCAAATGATGCCCCTGGCAGCGTTTTGTGACCATGAGGCTCTCAAGAGAGACATGTTGGGGAGGCCAAACGGCAATTTTAGCTGAGACGTCCCACCAAAATCGGCGCGAACGGGCTCGTGAGATCAGCCAGGGTGGCTCCCCCTTGGGGCTCCCAAATGATGTCCCTGGCAGCGTTTTGTGACCATGAGGCTCTCAAGAGAGACATGTTGGGGAGGCCAAACGGCAATTCTTAGCTGAGACGTCCCACCAAAATCGGCGCGAACGGGCTCGTGATATCAGCCAGGGTGGCTCCCCCTTGGGGCTCTCAAATGATGCCCCTGGCAGCGTTTTGTGACCATGAGGCTCTCAAGAGAGACATGTTGGGGAGGCCAAGCGGCAATTTTAGCTGAGACGTCCCACCAAAATCGGCGCGAACGGGCTCGTGAGATCAGCCAGGGTGGCTCCCCCTTGGGGCTCCCAAATGATGCCCCTGGCAGCGTTTTGTGACCATGAGGCTCTCAAGAGAGACATGTTGGGGAGGCCAAACGGCAATTTTAGCTGAGACGTCCCACCAAAATCGGCGCGAACGGGCTCGTGAGATCAGCCAGGGTGGCTCCCCCTTGGGGCTCCCAAATGATGCCCCTGGCAGCGTTTTGTGATCATGAGAGAGTGTGAGTGTGAGTGAATGTGACTGTGAGTGAGTCTGAGTGAGAGTGAGTCTCATCTTATCTTATCGAGTCCTATCTTATCGAGTCCTTGTCATATATCTTATCTTACCTTATCATATATTGTGCTATCTTATCTTATCTTGTAGTATCTTATCTTGTCTTGTCTTATCTGGTGATTATCATTGGGAGGAGGGAGGCGCGAGCGGGAGGAAGGAGGAGCAGTGGGAGGCGTCAGAATAATAACAAGAACCCCAATCCTTAGGATATGGGGAATAATGGAGGTGGGAACCCGCTAGGGCAGCATCGCGGGACGGTGGGACAAGAAGGCAGATCAAAATGCCTGGGCAAACTCCACTTCATCTTCTCCGTTCTTCTCACCCCCTGCTACAGCATCCTCCTCATCCTCCTGCTCGTCCTCCCCCCCCCTACCCCCTCCTCTTCCTCGTTCTCCTCCTCCGCCTCCTCCTACTCCTACTCCTCCACATCCGCCTCCTCATCCTCCTCCTCGTCCTCATCCTCATCATCCTCCTCGTCCTCCCATACTACCCTCTCCTCCTCCTCCTCCTCCTCCTCCTCCTCCTCCTCCTCTCCTCCTCCTCCTCCTCCTCCTCCTCCTCATGGTCCTCCTCCTCCTGATAATCACCAGATTCATCACCATCACCATCATCATCATCATCATCATCATCATCATCATCATCATCATCATCATCATCATCATCATCAGCATCACCATCACCATCACCATCACCATCATCATCATCAACAACATCATCATCATCATCATCATCATCATCATCGTCAGCAACAGCATCATCATCAGCATCATCATCATCATCCTCATCATCCTCATCATCCTCATCATCACAATCATCATCATCATCATCATCATCAGCATCATCATCATCATCAGCATCATCACAATCATCATCATCATCAGCAGCAGCATCATCATCACCATCATCACCATCAACATCATCATCATCATCAGCATCATCATCATCATCATCATCGTCATCATCAGTCGCATCATCACCATCATCAGCAGCAGCATAATCACAACCATAATGCTGCATCATCCTGGTAATCATCAGCATACCCATCAGCACCAGCAGCACCAACAGAATTGCCAAGAACAGCAACAACCATAGCAACAGTCTCATCATTATCATCATGATCAGCATCCTCATCAGCAGCATCAGCATCATCAGCAGCATGGTGATCATCATGATCATCATCATCATCATCAGCAGCAGCACCGTCAGTATCAGCAGCATGATCCTGAACAGCAGCAACATCATCATCATCAGCATCATCATCATCATCAACCTCAGCATACTCAGCATCAGAATCAGCATCATCATCAACTTCATCAGCACCAGCAACAGCATCATCATTAGCATCATCATGCCATCATCATCATCATCATCATCATCACCATCATTCGTCATCATCATCGCCATCAGCACAGTCATCATTGCAGACAATAGCAGCATCAGTGGCATCATCAACATCAACAGCATCAGTACCATCAACATACACAGCACCATCATCAGCATCAACATCATCAGCGTCATCATCAGCATCGTCATCAGCAGCATCATCATCAACAGCATCACCATCACCATTATCAGCATCATCGCAGACATTAGCAACATCATCATCATCATCATCATCATCATCAGCAGCAGCAGCAGCAGCAACATCATCACCACCATCATCACCAGCATCAGAAACATCAGCCGCAGCAGCAGCAGCAGCAGCGCCAGCATCGTCGTCATCAATCCATCATCGGCAACATCATAATCCGAAGCAGCATCATAAGCATAATCATCAGCCACATCATCCGTATCATCAATATAGTCAGCATCTTCATCTGCGGCATCGTCATCGTCACCTACATCATCATCTTACTTCCACCATCACACGGGTGACACTCATCGCCATCATGAACCACCACAAACAACTTCATGACCACTATCACCGACCGCGTCGACGTCACCATCATCATCATCATCATCATCATCATCATCATCATCATCAGCATCAGCATCAGCATCATCAGCATCAGCATCAACATCATCATCAGCATCATCATCACCAGATTCATCATCCTCATCGGCATCGCCGTCGTCATCAGCATCCGGGGCAGCAACATCATCAGCAGTCGCATAAACATCGCCAGTATCAGTACCGTGGTCATCAACACAACCATACATGTCAGCATCAACATCACCGTCCGTCATCATCATCGTCAACGAGCTCGTAATCATCAGGATAATCATCATCCTCGGCACAATTATCAGCATCATCATCATCATCAGCATCATCCTGATCATCAGCATCACCATCAGCAGCATCAACAACAGAATCAACAACATCATCACTGGCAACATCGTCATCATCATCACCACCGCCACCACCGCCACTACCATCATCATCACCATCAACATCGATGTTCGTCATCCCCATCATCATCATCATCATCATCATCATCATCATCATCATCATCATCATCATCATCATCATGGCCATCGTCATCAACATCGATATCATCCCGTACTCCTCCACCCGTCTCCACCCGTGTCCTCCTCATCCTCCTCATCCCCCTCCTCCTCCTCCCCTACTCCACAGCAATCTGACCTCCCTCCCCCCTGTTACTCCAACTTCATCCTTCCTACTGTCTTCTCCGCCTTACCACACCATCCGCCTTGTCATCCCCCTGCGTCCTGGCTCCTTCCCCCCTGCGCCGTCCCACACCGCCCAAACAAATGCACACGGACAAAACTTTAACAAGCCGAGCTAGTCCGTGTCCCTCCTCCCTGCTGTCCTCAGCCTCCCCTCTCCTCTCCTCTCCCCTCCTCGTCCTCCTCCTCCTCCTCCTCCTCCTCGTCGTCCTTCTCCTCCTCCTCCTCTTCCTCCTCCTCCTCCTCCTCCTCCACGTCCTCCTCCCCGCCCACCTCGTCCTCCTCATCCTCCTCCTCCTCCTCATCGGCTCCCCCTCCCCCTCTCCTCATTCCTCCTCCGTCCTCCTCGCCTTCCTCCTCCTCCTCCTCCTCTCCTCCTCCTCTTCTGTTTCTTCTTCTCCTCCTTCCCTCCTCCTCCCATCCTCCTCCTCTCATCCTCTCCTCCTCCTCCTCCTCCTCCTCTCCTCTCATAGTCATCATCGCCATCATCATCAACAGCATCAGCATCATCATCAGCATCATCGTCATCATCATCAGCAGCAGCATCATCATCACCATCATCATCCTCATCATCATCAGCATCATCATGAGCATCAGCATCAGCATCATCATCATCATCATCATCATCATCATCATCATCATCAGCATCATCATCATCATCATCATCATCATCATCATCGTCAGCAGCAGCATCATCATCAGCATCATCATAGTCGTCAGCACCATCATAAACATCAGCATCAGCTTCAGCAACATCATCATCAACAGCATCATCATCATCAGCATCATCATCATCATCACCATCATCACCATCATCACCATCAGCATCATCATCATCAGCATCATCATCATCAACATCAGCATCATCCTGATCCTCATCGGCGGCGTCAGCATCATCAGCTGCATCATCATCAGCATCAGCAGCATCGTCATCGTCAGCATCAGAATCATCATCATCATCATCATCATCATCATCAGCATCATCAGCAGCAGCAGCGCCAGCGGCATCAAGGTCATCATACTGAACAGCATCAGCATCAGCAGAAGCAGCACCATCGTCATCATCACCACCATAATTACACGCATATTCATCAGCAGCAGCAGCATCAGCATCACACTCAGCATAAACAACGTCGTCATCATCATCAAACTGAGCATCATCGACAGCTTCAGCATCAGCATCATCACCATCATCATCGTCATCGGAATCGCCATCATCATCATCATCATCATCAGCAACTCCAGCATCATCAGCAACAGCAAAATCATCAGCATCGGCATCATCATCAGCATTATCATCATCACGATCATCAGTATGATCAGCATCAGCATCATTCTCCTCATCACCAGCATCAGCATCCGCATCAGTATCAGGATCATCATCGACAGCAGCATCATGATGCATCATCACCACCACCACCATCATCATCATCAGCAGCACCATCATCAGCATCGTCGTCATCATCAGTAACATCGCCACCATGGTCATCATCATCAACATCATCGTCATCATCATAAGGATTATCCACATCATCAACAGCAGCGTCAACCTCATCATCATCTTCCTCCGCCGTCGCCTCCTCCTCCTTGTCATCATCATCCCTCTCCTCCTCCTCCTACTCCTTCTCCTCCTCCTCGTTCTCGTCATCCCTCTCTCCCTCCCTCCTCCCCGTCGTCGTCGTCGTCATCGTCGTGGTCGTCGTCGGCGGCGGTGGCGGCGGCATCGTTCCCCTCCTCCTCCTCCGCCTCCTCCTCTTCCTGATCCTGCGACCATCCCTCCCTCCCTCCCGCCACCCGACGCTGATCCCATCCTCGTCCTCTCGCCCTCTACCTCTGCTCCCCTCCTGCCGCCCCCATCACCTCCCACGCCCGCGCCCGTCATGGCGCGAGCATCTGCGACGCCTTGAGGCGCCGCCCATCCGTGCGCACAGAGCAGTGATCGGAGCGGCGCAGCCAGCGGCCGTTGCAGAGAAGGGGGGACGAGGAACGGAGAGCAGGACAGAGGATGGACGATGAGGAGGAGGAGCACGACACCTCAGGAGGAGGGAGGAGGAGGAGGAGGAGGAGGAGGAGGAGGAGGAGGGACAAGGAGGGACAAGGAGGGAGGAGGGGCGAGGGGGAGGGACGAGGAGGAGGGACGAGGAGGGAGCAGGAGGAGGGAGCAGGAGGAGGAGGAAGAGGAGGGACGAGGGTGAGGAGTGATCGAGTCCACAGTCTGAAAAATGGATCATCGGAGTAGACACAGAGTAGACACTACGTGAGAGCATCAGACACTGGCCTAGACACTACACAAGAGTAGTAAGCACGAACACTTCTGATGAATGACACGTCTTCATTCGCGGGGAGGGGTAGGAGGGAAAGAAGGACGGAAGGAGGAAGAGAAAAGAGTAGCAAGGAATAGGAGGAACGGGAGGAAGGAAGAGGAAGGAGGCCAGCCGACCAGCCAGCCTGCCGGGGTCAGCTTCGCGTGATCAATCCTACAGTCCGCCCCGTCGCCCCGGTCGCAAGCCCCTTGTGTCTTCGGAGAGGCCTACACTCCTCGCTTCCCAGGCCGAACGCACGGCGACACGGGTGAGGGGAGAGGGAGGATGAGGGAGGCTGGAAGAGGAAGAGGGAGACGAGGCGGAACAGCAAAGAAGGCGGGGAGGGGACGGGGACGGAGAAGGTAACCAGCCTCAAACTTGATCCCCATCCCTAAAATCGGCACGCCCAAGGCGATCACAGTATTAGGGATGCGCCTTCAGAAACTGAGGGGAGGGAATCCTTAAGACCGTCACCGAAGCAAATTGATGCCAAACACAAAAATAGGGGCGAGGAGGCAGGAGGAGGCGGAGGCGGAGGCACGAGGGGGGGAGGGAAAGGGACGCGAAGAGAAATGGTCCTCGCCGGGCTCCACCGGGTCGGGGCCAGGCTCCTCCAGGTCGGGCAAGGTGCAGTTGTAGTCGGGGCAGCCGCGGCCCTCGTGCAAGCAGCAATACTCCTGAAGGAGTGCGGGGGCGCGGCCAGGGGTGTGAACCTCGGCCCGCCATCCCCATCATCGGGGGGGCGGAACAAACAACCGAATGACGCGCGAGTCGTCCCTGCACGGGGACGGGCTGGCTAGCGGCCTGCGCGGGGCGACCGTGGCCGCTCAATCCATGAAGGGGAAGGAAAAGAGGGGAAGGGAATAAGGGAGGTGCATCCTACTCCTCCTCCTCCTCCTCCTCCTCCTCCTCCTCCTCCTCCTCATCATCATCATCATCATCAGCAGCAGCAGCAGCAGCATCATCATCAGCATCATCATCATCATCATCATCATCATCATCATCATCATCATCATCATCATCATCATCATCATCAGCATCATCATCATCATCATCATCATCATCATCAGCATCACCATCACCATCATCATCATCATTGTGATCATCATGATCACCACGACCAACCTGGTCATCATCAACGGATTCATCACCATCAGCAGCAGCATCATCAGCACCAAAAGCATCAACGTCGTCATCGTCACCATAATCATCGTCGTCATCATCATCATCATCATCATCGTCATCGTCATCATCATCGTCATCATCGTCACCATGTGTGCATCAGCAGCAGCATTACAACCATCACCATCACCATAATGATGATGATAATCAGCATCAGCATCAGCACAACAACCATCATCGTATTGGTTGTTGACGTCGTCGCGTCGTGGTGGTGGTCGTCAACGTCATCATCATCATCATCATCATCATCATCATCATCATCATCAACATCAGCAGCATCATAATCATTGTCATGATCATCACCATCACCACCAACATCAGCAACATCACCATCATAGTCGTCATCAGCATCATCGTGCTCATCCTCATCATCATCGTGCTCATCATCATCATTGTTATCATCATCCTGATCAGCATCATAATCGTCCTCTGCATCAGCAACAAAGACATCAGCTGCAACATCATCGTCGTCAGCATCATCAACGCTCGCATCGTCATCATCATCATCAGCATCATCATCATCATTACCAGCATCATCATCATCATCATCAGCATCATCATCATGATCATCGTCGTCGTCGCTATCGTCGCGGTCGCCACCAACATTGTCGTCGTCACCATCGTCGTTATCGTAATCCTCGTCACCCTCGTCGTCGTCAGCATAATCATACCCGTCATTATCAGCAGCATCAACAGCTTCGTCATCATCACTTTCAGCATCATCATAAGCATCACCGTCATCACCATCATCATCATCATCATCATCATCATCATCATCATCATCATCATCATCATCGTCATCATCCTCATCACCAACATCATCAACGCAATCACCATCAGCAGCGTCATCATCGTCATCAGCATCACCAACCTAATCAGCGAGGGCGCGCCGCTGGATGGCCCCAGGTGGGGGGGGTGGGACCCCCCCCGTTTCCCCGATCCGTCGTCTGGGAACCCCCCACCCCCATCCCCCCCATTCCCGGTCCGTCGTCGGGGAACCCCCCCACCCCCCCCCCCTTTCCCAGCCCGTCGTCGGGAACCCCCCCCCCTTTCAAAAGGGGGGGCGGGGGGGGTCCGAACCCCCACCGCCCCCTCCCCCCTTTGGCCGCCAAATTCGACCCCCCCCTCTCCCCCTTTCGCCACGGCGCCCTCTGGCTCCGGAACCCAACCCCTAACAGCCCTAACACTACCACCCCGACCACCCGTAACCCGAACCCCAAACCCTAACCCTAGCCCCAAACAGTATTCAGTCCTCACGATTCACTAACACTACCCATTACTCACTACTCACTACTCACTCCTCACTTCTCCCTACTCACTGCTCACTACTCACGACTCACTACTGACTACCCAGTACTCACTACCACTACTCACTACTCACTGCTTACTCGCTACTCACTACTCCCAACTCAGTAATCAATACTCACTATTCACTACCCACTACCAAATACTCACTACTCACGAGACACTACTCACGACCAACTACTCACCACCCATTAATCACTACTCACTACCCACTAACCACTATCCACTACTCACTACTGAGTACTCACACCTCACTACTCACTACTAACTGCCCACAGCTCACTACTCACTGTCCGCTCCTCGCTACTCGATACTCCCTAGTCCTTACACAGTACTCACTACTCACTACTCATTACTCGCTACTCCCTACTGGCTACTCGCAACCCGATACGCAATATTCACTACACACTACGCACACCTCACGACTCTTTACTCACTACTCACTCCTCCCTACTCACTAGTCACTCGTCACACGCCACGATGAACTACTCACTACTCAGTACTCACTACTCACTTCTCACGACTTACTACTCACTACTCACTACTCGCTACTCGCTACTCCCTACGCAATACCCACTACTCACTACCCATTTCTTACTTCTCACTACTCACGAATCACTGCTCCCTACTCCATACTCACTACTCACTACACACTACTCACTACTCGCTACTCGCTACTCGCTACTCGCTACACTCACTACTGACTACTCCCTCTTCACTACTCACTACTCACAATGCCCCACGGGCTACTCACTACTCACTACTCGCTACTCCCTGCTCGCTACTCACTACAAACTACCCACTCCCCACTACCCACTACTCACTACTCACTAGTCGCTACTCCCTACTCGCTACTCATTACTAACTACTCACTCCTCTCTACTCGCTACTATTTACTCACTACTCACTATTCACTACTCACTATTCACCACTCACTACTCACTACTCACTACTCACTACTCACTACTCACTACTCACTGCTCTCTACTCACTATCCCGAGGCCAGACCCCCCCGCCCTTGCGGGAGAGGCCTCATCTCCCGCCCCCTGTTCGTCCCCTGTTCGGCGCAAAGGGGAGGAAGGGGGGGGGGGGTCGAACCCGCCCCCCCCCTCCTCCAGCGCCAAGGGGGGAGGGGGAGGGGTCCGGACCCCTCCCCTTAAAAGGGAGGGGAGAGGGGGGGGGACCCCGCCCCCCTTCAGGGGGGGAGGGAGGGGGGAGGGGGGTCGAAAATCTCACCCGCCTTTGAAGGGGGGGAGGGGGGGGAGGGGGGTTCTGCGAGCACCCCCCCCTTTTCAATTACAGGGTCATCCACTGGCGCGCTTTCCTAATCAGCATCGTCATCGTCATCGTCATCATTAGCGTCAGCATCATCATGATCAGAATCATCATCCCCAGCATCATCATCAACAGCAGCAGCATCAGCATCATGATCATCAGCAGCATCGGCATCGTCATCAAAAAAGTATCCGCATCCTCATCTTTGCCAGCATTAGCATCATCATCATCATCATCATCATCATCATCGTCATCATCATTATCGTCCGCATCACCATCATCATCATCAGCATCATCAGCATCATCATCATCATCATCATCATCATCGTCATCATCATTATCGTCCGCATCAGCATCATCATCATCAGCATCATCAGCATCATCATCATCATCATCATCATCATCATCATCATCTTCTTCTTCAACATCGTCATCATCGCCATCATCGTCATCATCATTTCCACCCTCAGCAACCCCATCCTGCGCCTGCTTTACCTCATCTTCCTCCATAAGCACTTTCTCCTACCCGTCCTCCCCCCCTACCTCCACCTCCGTCCAATCCCTGCCTGCAACATCCGTCCTCCTCGCCATCCCTCCCCTCCATCACCTGCAAGTATACCTCCTCCCTCACTTCATTCGCAAGCCCTGCATTCCAACCACATCCTCCCCATATTGAGCGACGAGGACGAGGCCAACGAGACGGACGCAAGTGCAATGCTGAGCCATCGATCCAGGCTCGTTCGTGTGGAGGCAACGCAGCGCGGCACAAATGTTGCGTGTGAACTTGGTGCTAACGGCTTGAGCCAAGATGGCTACAGAAGAGCAGGAGGAGTACGAGAAGGAGGCGCAGGAGTAAGGTAGCAGAAAAAACCATTGAGGAAATGGGAAAGCAAATCAAGCCGAGAAGTCGAGAACGGGGCAAACAAATATCAAAATGCACCTAGGCTCTACGTCATCACGCTCTGCACCGAACCGTCTCCTGAACGTCCACAACATCTCTTCATCCATACTTCCCCATGTATGTGTGTATTTCCATGTGTGTATCCGATCGGGGGCCGACGGAACCGGCGGGCACGCCGAAGCAAACTCCTTCCCTGCACCTCGTCCTCATATCTCTCCCCCTCCTCCTCCTCCTCCTCCTCCTGCTCCGCCTGTTCATCATCATCAGCAGCAGCAGCAGCATCAGCAGCATCAGCATCAACATTAGCATCGTCGTCATCAGCATTAGCATCACCGTCAGCATCAGCATCATCATCATCATCATCATCATCATCATCATCATCATCATCATCAGCAGCAGCAGCAGCAGCATCATCGTCACCACCACCACAACCATCACCAACACCACCACCACAAACCCCAGCATCAGCAGCATCATCATCATCATCAGCATCATCGACAGCATCATCAGCATCAGCATCAGCGTCAGCATCATCATCATCATCATCAAAATCAGCATCATCAATCATCATCGTCATCATCAGCATCATCATCATCATCATCATCAGTATCATCATCATTGGCATCATCATCCTCATCATAATCATCATCATCAGCATCATCATCATCATCAGCAGCATCACCATCGTCACCATCATCATTGTCATCATCGTCATGGTCATCGTCATCGGCATCGGCATCGGTATCGTCGCCGTTATCGTCATCATCCTCATCAGCATCAGCAGCATCATCATCGTCGTCATTATCAGCATCAACATCACCATCATCATCAGCATCATCAGCATCACCACCACCATCAGCGTCAGCAGCATCATCATCACCCTCATCATTTTCCACACATCGTCATCATCATCATAATCATCATCATCATCATCATCATCATCAGCATCATCATCATCATCGTCGTCGTCGTCGTCGTCGTCGTCGTCGTCGTCGTCGTCGTCGTCGTCGTCGGCGTCATCATCCTCAGCAGCATCGTCATCATCATCATGATCATCATCATGTTCTTCATCGCCATCGCCATCGCCATGGTCATCGTCGTCATCATCGTCCTCGCCACCATCAGCGGCACTATCATCTATACCATCAACATCATCAGAATCGTCATCATCACCATCATCAACAGCATCATCATATCCTCTTCCTCCTGCTCCTATTCATCCTCCTCCAAGTCCGCCTCCGCATCCGACTCCTACTCGCAGCTCAGAGCGGTGGGCAATAGGTTCTGTCCGACACAGCCCTCTCCTCCCACTCCCTTTCCTTCTTCCCCTGCTCCTCCTCCTCGTCCACCTCCTCCTCCTCCTCCTCCACCGCCTACGCCTCCACCTTCACATCCGAGCCTGCATAGCGTATAGACCAGGCTCTCGGACGGGCGCCTGACTCCGCGAAGGTTCTTGTCACGGCCCACAGTTTATCGAAAGCCCAAATTCGACCTTGCCTTGGCGTTTCGCCTTCCGTGGTCAAACTGGTATCGTTTATTCTGCGTGGTGCCTGCTCCTCCTCCTGCTCCTCCGCCTCCTCCTCTTCTTATAGAAATGTTACCCACTAGACTCGCATGATCTCCATCGTCATTAGAACTGTAATGGGCGTTCGGGTGCGACTACAGTAAGAAATGTTCCTACTGAACTTCATCCTCAACTGATTACTGAAATGCGTGCTTAAAATACCGCTAAATACATACATAGTTGATATCATATGGTGAATAATAATCGTAGTCATAGTCATATCACTCGTATCGTTGCTACTGTTCGTAGTGCCAATGTGTTCAACATGATACTTACTAGTGTTGGAATTACCGTGAGACCTACCACGTGTTCCTTCATGTGGTTCCACGACCTCCAGCTCCTCCTCGTCCTCCACATCCTCTCCTCCTCCTTCTCTTTTCCCCCTCCTCAGCCATCCACTTCCTTCACCGTTCTCCGCATCCTCTCCTCCTCCATCCTCTCGGCATCCGTCCCCGGATCTGCGGAACGAAGGCTCCTGCTTCTCGGGGGACCACCCGTGCAGCCAGTTCTCGAACCCCTCGTGGCAGTCGTACGCAGGGGTGGTGGTGGTCGTGGTGGTCGACGTGGTGCAGCCTCACAACGGCGGCTCCGGCGAGGAGCTCGCCGCGCGGAGAACGGGGATGGGGGAGGGAGAGGCGCGGGGAGTAACGGAAGGGAGGTAGGGAGAGGACACGAGGAAGAAGAGGAGGAGGAAGAGGAGGGGAAGGGGAAATGAGGGGGGAGAACATATGGAACCCGCTATAGGCGAGTACGCGCCTACACCCGGGAAAGTGCTCCTACGATGTGCTCCGCTAGACCTCAGGCTGCCTCAATAGGCCTTCCGGGGTTGGCAGGCTCGTACGCCCATCATCAATCTGGAGGATTGAGCAGGGATGAAGGAGAGGAAAAAATATGAGGGGGGCGGGATGGGGAGACTGGGGCAGGCACGATGGAGGTGGCAGGAGGGAGACGCGGATCCCAGTGGAAAGACACCCCTCCTGCCCTTTTTACACAACTCATTCGTCCCTATCGCACCCTCGGACGGGTCGGCGGGGCGAGGTGGGCGTTCCCCCCAGGACTCCCCCCAGGACTCCCACTCCTCCTCCTCCTCCTCCTCCTCCTCCCCCTATCCTCCTCCTCCCCCTATCCTCCTGCTCCTCCTCCTCCTCCTCCTCCTCCCCCTCCTCCTCCTCCCCCACTCCTTAGGAATTCCGCAACAACTTCAAGGATAGAGGCGGGGTCGTCTCCCAAGCGGAGCTATCGCCCGAGCGCCGCGCACATCCGTCTTGAAAGTTCGCAGCCCCTTCGAATCCGCCGACCCTGCGTCGGCGTGCGTGAGGGGCTTGTCCGTTCCCGTCGCTCGTTCGTCGTCGTCTCCGTCGTCTCCTGCTCCTGCGCCCACCCTTTCCCTGGGCCAGTCGTCTCCTGCCCCTGCGCTCCCCCATTGCCCTGGGCCCGTCTCCCCCCCCCTTGCCCCCCCCCTTCCCCGGGCCCGTCGCCGCCCGCCCCCCCCGCTTTTCCAGGGCCTCCCCCCCAACAGCAGCGTTGTCATTGAGTCGTCGAAGGGTAGCTCCTTCCTCTTGATCCCTCCCCTGCCGGGGAGGGGGTCCCTGGGAGGGGTCCCGGGAGAGTCCCGGCGGGGGAGGGTCCCGCGGGAGTCCCGGGGGAATCCGGGGGGGGGGGGGTCCCGGGGGGAGTCCCGGGAGGGTTCCAGGGGGGGGGTCCCGGGGAGGGGTCCCGCAGGAGTCCCGAGGGAATCCCGGGGGATCCCCAACGTTGCATCCCCCTAACTCGGGCGCGTGCTAACATGGGTTTGGGAGGTCGGGGAAGGTACCCCCGATATATGAGGACAATGCCGCCTCATTTGGCGACGGATCGCGACAATTCCGTGAGGAACGGAACCCGCCGCTAATCCACGAGCCTTAATCCAAGTTTACGTTTCCTTGGCTATCGCTGCCTCCCAGTAACGATGCTTCCCCCCGTGACCACTACTACCCTCTCATAACGTTGCCCCGCGACTGCTCTCCAGGGACGGCAGCGGCAGCGAGGCCCGATCTTGCTGGCCTTTCAACTCGTTGGCGCAGCACCACTCCTGCTGGATGACCGGCCATGCGGCCTGCAGGGGAACCCGAACTCCCCCCCCACATCGGCCTCATTTAATTTCTCCTCCTCCTCCTCCTCTTCCTTGTCGTCCTCGTCCTCGCCATCTTCCTCCTCTCCTCCTCCTCCTCCTCCTCCTCCTCCTCCTCCTCCTCCTCCTCCTCCCTCCCTCCCTCCCTCCCTCCCTCCCTCCATCCATCCACCCTCCTCATGTTCCGCCCTTTCCTCCTCAGTCCTCCTCCCTCCTCCATCCTATTCCTTCTTCTTCTTCCTCACCGTCCTCTTCCTCCTTTTCTTGCTCCTCTTCTTCCTCCCCCTCCTCTTCCTCCTCCTCCTCCTTCCTACTCCTCCCTCTCCCTCCTCCTCTCTCCTCCTCCTCCTCCTCCTCCTCCCCCTTCTCCTCTCCTCCTCCTCCTCCTCTCCTCCTCCCCCTCCTCCTCCTGGTATTCCTCCTATCATTCCCTCACCCTCCTTTTTTCTCTTCACGACATAAATATGATTAGTATTACTCCTAGAATTGGAAATGCTAGATTACTACTGGTGAAAGTAATGGTATTGGTATGATGATTCCCGTCATCACATAGAAATTAGTAGTGGTGATACGACCATGAGTTTTTGTAAGAAAAAACGAAAACAAAAAACAACAAAAAACAGATATTGTTGTTATCGCTATCATTCGCATAATTCTGGTTGTTTTAGTAGTAGTAGTAGTAGTAGTAGTAGTAGCAGCAGCAGCAGCAGTAGTAGTAGTAGTAGTAGTCGCAGTAGTAGTAGTAGTAATAGTAGTAGTAGTAGTAGTAGTAGTAGTAGTAGTAGTACAATCGGTATAAATAATAGCATTCGTATTGCTAGTGTTATGAGTCTTGGCAGTCGTATTCTTAGTGATACGATTGGTCATATCATTACTGTTGCTACAATCATTAATACTACTACTATTCTACTGGAAGTATTAGAGATATTGATATTTCATGGTGGTATCGTTCGTATGAATTACAATCGTAGTATGTATCATCCGTATTCGTTATTGTCGTTTTCATCTTCTGTGTGAATGATTAGTAGGCTTTGTAGTATGGTGAGTTGTTGGAGCTTCACTATGCGTAGTCGTACTGTCTTAGTGTTATCTGTCGTATGCGTAGTATGCGTATTATCGTTACTATGCGCCTGAGTCGCATTCCCATTCGTGATGTTAGTCGTCGTATGTGTCTGGTGTCTCGTATTCGCATTGTTCGTCGTGTGTTCGCAGTCGTACCCGAATTTCAAATAATCAAAATACTAATAACAGTAATACAACAAGTAGTACGAGCATTGTCGGTATTGTTACGGCTACTAGGTATTATTCATATTACGTGTCTCATGCTGATCCGTCCTGTTCTTCGCAATCGCCTGAGTGTTATGATTCGTGGGTTTTGTTGTGATTCATAATGGTATCATGTGTATCATGATTAGCCCTAGATGCGCATTATTATTACGATCATGCTTACCCAATTTTATTGCTATATTCGTATTATGTTTGTTCGTGTTATTACGTGTGTTTATGTTTTCCCTTCCTCTCGCTATTCTAATGCATCCCCCTCCTCATCATCATTGTCCTTTTCCTCCTCCCCCCTCCCTCTCTCCCCCCCCTCCTCCCTCTCCTCCCCCTCGTCCCCCTTCTTTCCCTATCAGATCCCCTTTTCCACAATCTTTCCTCCGTCGAGCCTAATCCCCCCTCTTCCTCCTCCTCCTCCTCCTCCTCCTCCTCCTCCTCCGCCTCCTCCTTTTCCTCCTCCTCCTCCTCCTCCTCCTCCTGATTCCCCTTTTCATTTTCCTTCTCTTCCCCCCCCCTTCCTCTCCTTCTCCTCCTCCTGACCCCCCCGCATCCACCTCCTGTTCCTCATCCTCCTCCACCTGCGCACGGAGTAGCGGGCGATGAGCGCGCACGCCCACCGCTGCCCCAGGGCGAAGCAAACCCCCCGCCCCGCGACCACCCGGAGCGAGGGGCCGCCGCACTCCCGAAGGGTGCCCGAGAGAGAAAGAGAGAGAGAAACAAGAGAGAGAGAGAGAGGAAAGAAAAAATAAAAACTAAAAAATCCGGGCGAATGACCCAACCATATGCAGTTGTGAATGACGCGTTGTGGGTGACGCTTTCGGTAGAACTGCCTGTGGGGCCAAGAAACGCGCGAGGGACGTGCCGTAATGGGCGGGGGACACGCACGCGGGCGGTGCCACTGGGGCTTTCAGTGGGGCTCCCTATGGGCCACGAAACGCTGTCCTGGGTGTGGCGGACGCATGAGGGCGGTGCCCCTCGCTGGAACTCCCGATGAGGCCACGAAACGCTGTATTGGTTGGGGGAAACGCATGCGGGCGGTGCTGCTGGGGTCTTGCTGTGGAGCTCCCTACAGGGCCGCGAAACGCTGCACTGGGCGGTGGCCGACGCATGCGGGCGGTGCCACGGGACCTTCGGTGAAGCTCCCTATGGGGCCACAGGAGGGGGGGGGCGCATGCAGGCGTTGCCAGCCACTACAACTCCCAACGGGGCCACGAAACGCTGTACCGGGTGGGGGAAACGCATGCGGGCGGTGCCACTGGGGCTTGGTGGAGCTCCCACTCAATGGGGCCGCGAAATGCAGTACTGGGTGGTGGACGACGACGCATGCCGGCATTGCCACTGGTTTGGACGCCCGAAATGGGTATTGAAACAATGGGCACAATGCCCAACAACAAATATTGTCCCAAACCAACAGCGGCCGCTGTTGGGCAACCGGCCTTCTGTCTCAAATGGACACAGGCCGCGGCGGCGCGGCGCGGATAGCGAGACCTGTTCAAAATGAACAGGAACTGCTGTGGAGCATTATACCCATTCTGTCCGTGCCCACTTCTTTCGTGCCGAACTGAAGTCTTTTTGTGGAACGCCACGAAACGCTGTACTGGGTGTGGCGGACGCACGTAACCACCCCAACTGGGGCCTCACGTGGAGCTCCCTATGGGGCCACGACGCGGTGCACTGGGTGTGGCGGTCGCATGTGGCCACCCCCACTGGGGCAGCAGGTGGAGCTCCTTATGGGCCATGAAGCGCTGCATTGGGTGTGGCGGACGCATGTGGCCATCCCCGCTGGGGCATTGGGTGGAGTTCCGTACTGGGTGTGGCGGACGCATGTGGCCACCCCCACTGGAGCCGCAGGTGGAGTTCCCGATGGGACCACGAAACGCTGTACTGGGTGTGGCGGACGCATGTGGCCACCCCACTGGGGCCGCACGTGGGGTTCCCTATGGGGCCACGAAACGCTTTACTGGGTGTGGCGGACGCATGTGGCCACCCCCAGTGGCCGCAGGTGGAGCTCCCTATGGGGCCACGAAGCGTTGTATTGGGTGTGGCGGTCGCATGTGGCCACCCGCGCCGGGGCCTTGGGTGGAGCTCCCTATGGGGCCACGAAACGTTGTACTGGGTGTGGCGGACGCATATGGCCACCCCCGCTGGGGCCTTGGGTGGAGCTCCATATGGAGCCACGAAGCGCCGCACTGGGTGTGGCGGACGCATGTGGCCACCCCGAATAACAGTTGCGTGGGGGCCCTTTTCATGGGGCCACGAAACGTTGTACTGTGTGTGGCGGACGCATGTGGCCACCCCACTGGGGCCTGACGCGGAGCTCCCTATGGGGCCACGAAACGCTTTACTGGGTGTGGCGGACGCATGGAACCACCCCCACTGGGGCAGCAGGTGGAGCCCCCTATGGGGCCATGAAGCGCTGCATTGGGTGTGGCGGTCGCGCGTGGCCACCCCCACTGGGGCCTTGGGTGGAGCTCCCCATGGGGCCACGAGGCATTTTTAACTGGGCGTGGCGGACGCATGTAACCACCCCCACTGGAGCCTTACGTGGAAGGCTCTCTATGGGGCCACGAAGCGATGCACTGGGTGTGGCGGACGCACGTGGCCACCCCCAGTGGGGCCGCAGGTGGGGTTCCCTATGGGGCCACGAACTGTTGTACTGTGTGTGGCGGACGCACGCGGCCACCCCAACTGGGGCAGCAGGTGGGGCTCCACATGGGGCCACGAAGCGTTGTATTGGGTGTGGCGGTCGCGTGTGGCCACCCCCGCTTGGGCTTGTGGTGGAAAGCTCCCTATGGGGCCACGAAACGCTTTACTGGGTGTGGCGGACGCATGGAACCACCCCCAACTGGGGCATTACGTCGAGCTCCCTATGGGGCCACGACACGCTGCATTGGGTGTGGCGGGCGCATGTGGCCACCCCCACTGGCACGTACGTGGGGCCCTTTTCTTTTATGGGGCCACGAAACGCTGTACGGGGTGTGGCGGACGCATGTGGCCACCCCCACTGGGGCCGCAGGTGGAACACCCTATGGGGCTACGAAGCGCCGCGTTGGGTATAGCGATGGCACGTGGCCACCCCCACTGGGGCCGCGGGAGCTCCCAATGGGGCCCCGAAACGCTGTACGGGGCGTGGCGGACGCAAGTGGCCACCCACACTGGGGCCGCAGGTGGAGTTCCCTATGGGGCCACGAAGCGCTGTACCGAGTGTGGCGGGCGCAAGTAGCCACCCCACGTGGGCCGCTGTTGGAGCTCCTATGGGGCCACGACACGCTGCATTGGGTGTGGCGGGCGCGTGTGGCCACCCCCGCTGGGGCAACAGGTGGAGCTCCCTATGGAGCCATGAAGCGCTGCATTGGGTGTGGCGGACGCATGTGGCCACCCCCACTGTGGCCGCAGGTGGAGCTCCGTATGGGGCCACGAAACGTCGTACTTGGCCTGGCGGTCGCATGTGCCCACCCCCACTGGGGCCTTGGGTGGAGCATCCTATGGGGCCACGAAACGCTGTACTGGGCGGGTGAAACGCATGGAAGAGAAGGAGGGGGGAGGAGGGAGGAGGGGGAGTAGAGGCGAGGCGAAGAGAGGAAAGACGCGGGACCGTCTCTTCAAAACGAAGACCCAACATCACAGGATGGTTGGAAAATGGGATGGGAAAAAGAAGAGGCGCCAGGCTCACCACGTGGAGCTCCATGAACTCCACCAACCCAACG